GAAACTACCATATTCAGTTGATTAGAATCGGTAACAAAAACTCTATGAACGCTCAAACTCGCGAGGTGGGAGACAATTGTGGACGAGCAAACCACTGCGCAGCCATCTGCACATCTGCCTCCTGATTGGGCAAGACTTAATGAGATTGAGTAATGTTTGGTTACGGTAGGTTAGTTTAGTTTAGTGTACGTTAGGTTAAGTTAGGTTAGTTTCGCTCAACAACCCATTACCCGTCCACTTCGTAACTTCTTAAGTTGATGAATATTTGTGGGATTGAGCGATGGTGGGTTAACTTAGGTCAAGTTGGGTTAGGTTTGCGCTTCACACGACTGCACATTCCCTTATTCCAACCGAAGGAACTGCTTCAGATAGCGTTATTTTGGGTTAGGCTCTAATATTTTAACCCGTCACACCACGTGGACTCCATTACAGTTGGAAATTGTGCCTTGCAATTTTGAAGAGATTTCAAAATGTTAATACTCTGGAAAATTGTTTTAAGATTTTCAGTTAATTTGCAGCTTAATATCAACGTTTTTTTTGTCCCAGAGGCGTGCGTTCGTCCATGCTCTGAAATTGTGGGTATATTTCATTAAACTTGTTTGTAAGAAGTTTCAAACTCTAAGAATCCTCTAATCACTTTAAATGTTTGCCTTATGGGATATAAATATATTTTGAAATTTGTTAAGGACTTAGAGATTTGACACCTCAAATCACATATTTCGACAAATGCACGAATTGATTTAATTGAGGCATATCCCAGTAGATAGAATTGTTCGATTTAGATGTAAATTTATAAGCATATTTGTTTGTTGTTCACCTCGTTGGGAAATATTCTTGCGACACCTATGTGTTGCTTTGTTTTGGGGGGGTTCAGTGCAGATGGTAGCGTCACCCCTCCATTTTGTGACACGAAGAGAATGCTTGGGCTCAATAAATTCTTGGCGCTGTTCCTAGTCAGTCGATGGTTGCTAGGTAACCACGGGAGCTTAGCTTCTACAGCGATGTTACCAGTGATGTTGCTGAGCGGAAGCAACAGCTGTCATCACTAGAGCTAGGATTTTTATGCAGTATCATCATGAAAAATATATACATAATTGTAGAACATAAACCTCTGAAATATGTAGTAAAATATGTGGATTCATTAAAATATGTAACATCGCATGAAAATAATATTTACTGTTGCAGGGAACCTTTATTTTTTTTAATTTGTTGATGCAGAGCACACAATTAGAATCTTTTCCATATTCTCTGGGGTCATTTATTGTTTTTTATCTGATATGCAGGCTAAAAAGGATCTTGCTACATCACAAGATGTCACTGGTGCGTATTTTGACAAATGAATGTTCTCAGGAGCATTCTCTTCAAGGAGATCTGCATCATCTCCATTAAGTACCTGACAGACACTGGTAAATGTCTAAAATCCAGGGTTTCTTTTTAACACCGCCTGCAACTTGGTGGACACACCTTCACCAGCCTCCCATTTCACAACACTAAGCTTTTCATTTGCATTTTTCATTATTTTAATAGATTCTTGCAAAGGAAGTCCTTGGGTTTCTAATCCGGAAGCCAGCCGAAATTGCTTCGGATCTAGGCAATCGAACAGGCCACTTTTGGATCGCTGAATGCGCTCTGGTGTTCACCCACCGAAACAGCGGACTCATATGGGAACTTAGCTACGTTTGATTTCAGAATTTCGAAGTGTTCACTGCAGAAGTTGACTCCTTCTAACCAGGTTTCCTATCTTGTTTTCATTGGTTCAGGCGGGGGGGCCAAGGATGTGTCTGGCAAGTGCTGCTTATAGGATTGCACTCGATGTGGGGCTTTCAGAAACATCGAAATTAATTAATTCACTTAGGGGACCTTGGCTCTAGCCTCCTCGGCAACACGTTGCAGTCCATGGGCCAGGCAAGTAAAATGAATCAAATTAGGCTAAAACACTTTCAACGCAGTTGCAGCTTTCTGCATATATGCCACAGCATCTGAATACAAAATTAGCGCCTTCTTGTGAACTCCGGTAGGCCGCAAATCTTGCAACAGTGGAATGGTTTGTATGGTACGGAACTTTGGAGCAAATCAAATATGGTTTATAAGGAACTTCAATGTTTAACTTGCCAGTCACAAGATTCGCGATAAAGCGACCCGTGGAATCCGTTGTTTTGTCCACAACCCACATAAAGCCATCTCCTCTGTCACCTCTTATGTTTTCCAGGGCTTCTTCATAGCAGATAGGCAGATAATGTTTCCAAAATGTTGACTGGTCTGGAATATGTTGCGTGCAGTACCTCTCTAAATAGGACCGAAATTCGGGCATTTGGAGTTTAAACCTGGGGATGTTGGCGGACACCATCCGCTTGCACATGTCCTTGAAGAATTCGTTTATTGAGGTCGAAGACTGGTGCAACTATGTTAAGGGCACTTGCTTCTTCGAAGAACTCAGTTGCTTGTTTTTGTATGTAGCGCGCTTCGTACATGTTGCTCCAGCTGTGATTTCATGGAACACCCAATACTTCTGTTGCAAGCCAAACATATTACGGTTTTACCGCCTGTTGTGAAGGAATCGTCTGTTTTTACCTACAGATTTAACTTTGACGCCACAGAGGATACAACCGGTGCCATAATGATATGAACTTAACTCACTGAACTGCTGATGCAAAACTGAAATCGCTTACAGACATTTTATTACAAGAACGCAGGTTGTTAGGAGTGGAAGAGTGTGTTTGCTGAGAGGGAGGAGATTTTAATTGCAATATAAAGGAACACCATTCGAATTCTTAAGAAAAATCCCCAACGCGCAAGTCACATTAATGGGGCAGAATTACGTAAGGAATGTAGTATTTTTTTTAATTCGCTCACTGGGGGGTGGAGTCCAACTGGGTCCACTCAGCACGGCGGCCACTGATTGGTCTATTGTAGCCTTCCCTGGGTGATTATGATGATGGAGAATTGGTGGAATGAAGATTGGCAGGGGAAACCGAAGTACTCGGAGAAAACCCGCTCAGCGCCACTTTGCCCACCACAAATCCCCCGAGTGTAAAGCGGCAATGGAGTGAAGCTGACCACACACCTCCAACTAGTGCTGAGGTTAAAATGGTTGGGCAATACTTCCACTTCCCACCTGTCTTCATGAGGCAGTCCTTAATTTATTACGCGCAGAGTAGGCTTTTAACTTGTTTTACCATTTTTGTATTTATTCAGAATGCCAAAATCTTCGTGTGTATACTAGAACCAAACCCAGTTCACCTCCCTATACGTTTCAGCCAGATGTACGTAAACTTTACACCAACAGTCGAGATATAATGATTGTATGATAATATAAATAGTGACAGCATACATACCTTAAGATTCATTCGATACCTGAGCAATGTAAGAAGCCGTAAATCGATATAACATCTCGTTATCGATATAAATGTATACGGTAACGATATGAAATTTCACACGGTCGTTAATGCAGACAACACATTCTCCACATAAGGGCAAGCCACTTGAAGACTAACAGTGGCGCTGTAATTACTTGTAGTTCCGAGTGGTGTGTACAAGTGGTCAGTAAATCCATTCACCAGCCCATACTCTGTCTGTAGTCACACACTCCAAACATACGTGACAATAATAAACCCATATGGATTGATATATAGGAAGATTATTTAGCTGTAATGCTCTGTCATCGTATTCGGGAATTCTGTGGGCGTGAGTCTCGTGGTTCGACCCCTTCATCATTTCCCTCGAGCTGTTACACTTCGCCCTCCTGTGTACGTGCCCCTATGTTCCGCTCCGTTATCTAGCCATGCTCTTCACACGGATGTGTGTAGCGATAACCTCCGCTAGCGACAAGAACTCTTATCTGTTTAACGTTGGCCAGGAGGAATCCTCAAGCGCCGACTTTCCCATTGTACATCGTTTCTCTTTTCATGGCCTTTATATAGGTCCATCTGTCACAATCCATAAGAGTCCATACTCATTTCGGGAACGTATCTGTCGCAATACCCGAATGTATTGTGACGCATATGCCCATTGCTAGGCAATGGCTTAGTAAACAGATTCCTGAAATATACGCGCAGAACAATAGGGCATCCATTGGTAGGTAACGGACCAATAAACACATTCTCGACAACAGAAGACGGTGTTTTCCGTGCTGTCCATGCCGAGGAGGGGCACAGTCAGAAGTACAACAGAGTAGTGGAGTAGTGAAGTGTGGTCAGAAGTCGAAAGTGTCCAGTCGAAGAAGATGACAATGTATCAGATAGTGATTTCTGAACTGTTGTAACCCGTTGTATAAAGGTCCAATAAATTCGATTATCAAACCAAAACCCGTCTTATTAGTCACGCAAACCCTAGTTCCTTGACATTATTACGACCATTATTATCATGAGTGCCCACATGAAGATGCGCATACGTACGGCCAGAGGTCAAAAGATGATTCGGGCATGGGTCTATAGCCGTCGCATTCTCAGCTTGTAACTTACAAGGGAGACATTCAAAAAGAAATGCCGCATTTTATCCCTATCACACATGAAAGCCGTCAAGTTGCAACTCTATCGGCATTCCCGCGAACTCGTTACAACTGGCGTGGAGCGAGAGTTGCATTACTTTTTCGTATATATTTCATAGAGCATTAGTATTTTAGAAGCCGGGATAGCGTAGTCGGTATAGCAATTGGCTACGGGCTGGACCACCGAGGTGTCGGAGTCCGAGTCCCGGTAGGGTCAAGAATTTTCTCCACTTCGTCCAGACCGGCTTTGGGTTTCACTCAACCTCATATCCAATGGGTACTGGGGCTCTTTCCCGGGGTAAAGCGGCCGGGACGTGAAGCTGACCACTTACTTCCAGCTAGTGCCGAGGTCAAGAAGGTGTGGGTCTATACATCCATTCCCTCATACGCCTTATGGCGTAGTGCTTCCTTAGTTAAACACGGGGACAATTTGTATATTTTTTCATGCCAATCTTAACTTTGATTCTGTGATTTAAACGAATGAGCTATGAGTTGACCAGAAAATCCGTCACAGGCCACCAAGAACTTCATCGATGAGGTGAATCGGCTACGTCGTCGCCGGAGAGCCGGTCCTGTTTCGTGGGCTACAGCTGTCAAGTTCTTGGCTGCGCGGAAATTCGATGTGGGTCGCGCCGTAACATTATACGAACAGCACGAAACCACACGACATCGGGAAGGCCTTGTTCGTTTTGATCCCAGACAGAACCCCCTCAAGAGCGAGTTGGACACCGGCAAGTTCACAATCTTGGTGAGTAGTGTCACATGATCTCGTAAGTGGTAACAGTGTGATTTGATAAAATTGTGCTATCTGCTGGTTATAATGCATGATTCTGTTACATGATTTGTCTAACAGTAATGCTGTGGGCTTGTATTCAGATGGTTTTTGTTTCGAATCTCAGCCGGCACTCATGCTATCAGGAATGGGATGTTTTGTGGTGCTTAGGCAAATGCAGGGCTACGTTCCAAATCCAATTCATGCATGATCCAGCCTTTCAGTGCTTCGTGTCCAGAAACACAGCAGAACAGTCTTCCTATTTTTCCCTTTAATGTGTTGTGTAATGTTTCAGCCAACCCGGGATGCGACTGGTGCTGCCATTGCAGTGTTCACAGCTCGCTTGCATTATCCGCAAGTGTCATCCCACCAGACAACGCTTCAGGTAATGCTTCATATGTGTACTATACTGAGGATATTAGAAGAAGTCTCGTTGAAGGCAGTGAAGAGAACATTTGATGCTTTCCTTCCTTGCCTACTGCTCCCTCTCGCCCACGTCGACCATCCCAGAGGGTTTGTGGCTTGTGAAAGTTGTTACCTCACTGCCAACGTTCATGATAGACAAAAGGCCAGATGACTGGAGGGGAATGTAGGGAAGTATGCTGGAATGGGAAGCATATCACCTTGAGGGAGACTAATTCATAGGAGTTCTTTTCATGGTCTCAGTATAGTTTTAGTAATCACAGTGGTAATTAGTGCCTTTTTTTCCCCCTTTTGCACTACAGCCCCAGTGGGCCTAGGCCTACCTCCATGAACTCCGTTCACTTCGGTTTTTCTAGAGATTACACAAACGGTAGGACTCCTTGGGCGAGTGATCAGCTCGTCGCAAGGCCTCTACATGTAGACAAACACAGAAAAACGCACACCAACATCCATGCCCTGAGTGAGATTCGAACCCACGATCCCGGCTTCCGAGCGAGCGAAGACAGTGCATGCCTTAGACCGCTCGGCTACCGTGACCGGCAATTAGTGCATAGATGTTTATAATAAAGGTAAAAGATAAATCTATCTCTGTAACAGGCCGTGGGAGCCCATGGGGTCATGAGACGCGGAGGCTCCCACATTTTTAGACAATCAGCTCGCAAATGGCGGTGAAGTTGTCAGCCTTACGTGCCAGCTACCCCGAAGAAGTTTCCTGGTACTCAGTTCTTTTAGAGGCTGAGTCGACGTCAGGGCCATAGTGCGGCTGGAATTCGTACAGAATATGTGTTAAACTTCTGTTCATCGGACATTGCTGTCAACTAGGTATTTTCGGATCCAAGTTACAAATTTAAACCACAACCTCTACGTTGACGTCTTTTCCAATTTGTTACTTACTAAGCATCCTGCCACAGGATGCAAACTGTGTCACTCACAACATCGTTAAGAAAATTATGAATTAATATCACTAATTTTAGTCACAATATCATGATCCTGTTCGAATGTATAGAAGGATTATTTCTGATTTTGATATTTTACCATTTGATGAATCTCTGTGGAACAAACAGTGACATATCAGAGGTTTAAAATTCATAAATAAGTTTTTTAGCTTATTTTTAAGTGAATCTATCCCATTGCTTCCCGGTCTAAAGACTTGCAGCACAGTTTGCTGAGTTTTGAGACAGAAGACACTTTGAGAGGTCTTGCATGTGTGGAGCGCACCTTCCCCCCCCCTCAGGGTGAGATGTAAGGGAGCAATTTGGGGATATTCCATGGGAAAGTTCAGGTTGAATTTATGAATTATGGAAATAAAGTGCTTACTAGTGAATTAAACAAAATATATGTTCGTAAATTTTCAGGCATACTCCTACTCTTCCAATAGCATACCAGTGTTCCATGACACACACTTTAGGAAACAATGATCTATTCATTTATTTCATACATTTGTATGTGATTCTTCTGCTGTTTGAGCAATGAGCTGCTGCTACCATCTGTTGGTGCGTGATTTGAAGTAACAAGGCTTTTCATGGCTGCAGGGGGTTGTATACCAGCTGGATGTCGCGCTGGAGAGTGTGGACACCCAGAAATGTGGTCTTGTGTTCATCTATGACATGTCTGACTCCAAGTATTCAAACTTTGACTATGATCTTAGTCAGAAGATTCTCACACTCCTAAAAGTAAGTGCGAGATATCTCATTTATCTGTAGCATAATTTTCATGAAAATATTTCAATTGAATGGAATTTGTCATTTGTGTTTGATTAACCATTTAGGTATTCTATACAAAGCAAAATAGAACGCCTTATGTGGAAGTCATGTCCGTCTGTGTGTCTGGCCTAAACTGTTAGACAGAGTTTTTTAAAATCTGACTTTAAAGACGTTCGCCAAATATTGTTCTGCAGTTCTGATTTTCAGTCAAAGTGGCCCATATCCCTCATTACACATGACCATAAACAGGGGCACAGATTTTATGTTGAAATTCGATCAGAAAGACTGTCTAGATGTTGTCGAGCGGTTTCTGTTTTCAGCCATTTGGGTTATAATCAGGCTTGGTGTGCATGGGGTCTAAATAGACCTTGTCATATACGTATTCCATAAACATTTTCACATATGAGGTGTGACAGTAAAGTTCGCGAACTCGCCACCGTTTGCTTGCCTTGGTAGCAGTGGAGAGAAACTCACTGTGGCTTGATGACGTTGACATATTTGTGTTTCACAGCTGTGTTGTTGTTGATCTATGACAATCTCTTTCTGAATGGCATCAATTATTGTCTGAGTGTGTTTTGGTGTGCCGTTGTGAGAACGTCGGAGCTTGAATTAAGAGCAACAAAGGAATATTAAATTTCATGTTAAATTTGGCAAGAGTGGAAAAGAAATCAGAGAAATGTTAGTGCAAGTGTATGGGGACTTTTGTCTGTTTCCAAAGATAAAGGCAATGTTGAAAGGAAGGCATTTTGATGACATTGATGACATCAGGAGTATTTAGGAATAATATGACGACAGCTCTGAAGGCCATTCTACAACACCAAGGCCAGAATTGTTTTGAAAGGTATACTAGGCCCTGGCATTGGTGTATAACTTCCCAAGGGGAGTATTTTGAAGGCGTCCACAGTGATATTCAGCAATTATACTTCTACCGCGATAAGTTCGCGAACTTTATTGTCAGACCACGTCTGTTCTGGAAATTTGATATGAGAGACTTTCTCTTATTTCTGTTTCGTTTGAAGTATGGATTATGCTCTTTCCAGACGTGTTATGTTAACATCATACAAAGTGGATTCCTTTTTCAGCTGCTACAAAAGGCATATTAATACTACAGTCAACAATTGTGCGAATGCTTAAATATAGAACATCATGTATTTATCTGAGCTCAAATGCAAGTATAGAATGAACTTCTCCAGTTTTGTGACATGTCATATTTCATGGCAGGACACTCTGAACTCACCATATTGGGTCCGTGTATAGAGCACTCTTAAAACTATGGAGCATGTACCTATTTTTTTTTAATGCTAGTGGGGTGGGACTAAGTCCCTTGTACTGTGGCCACTTCTGGCCTATTGTACCAGCCCCAGATGATAGGTGAGGGTGATTATGGAGCAATTGTTGGAATGAAGATTGGCAGGGGAAACCGAAGTACTCAGAGAAAACCTGCCACAGCGCCACTTTGTCCACCACAAATCCCACTTGACTAGACCCGGGATCGAACCCGGGCTGCCGCGATGGGAAACCAGCAACTAACCGCTTGAGCTATGGCGGGGCATATGTACCTAATTTTATGATGTAATGAGAGTGCTGTACCACAAAATAAGGTATGTCACAAAATGTCCATAACAGAGGTATCCGTGAAGAGCTGTTTAAACTAACTATAGAACATAAACCTAATTTTGTGATGAATTTAGAGTGTCATGCCATGAAATAACATATGTTATGAAAGTCAGCCGCTTTGCCACAAGTGTACTGTAATCCGCGCAACTTACCTTATTTCTGGTAATCCTAAGAGTTATAACTCTGAATTAGAAACGTACTTTTAATAACACAGCAATTTATTTTGCAGGTCGGTCATACTCAAAAGGTTTATGGTAGGATATAACACTGTTTGTAGGCAGTAATTTCCCCCTGTCCCTAATGCTCACGTATTTAGCACCCTCCACCATGGAATTAGGTCTCTGTTGTAACTAAAGGAAAATTATTTTTGTGCCGTGAAATATTTCGGTTGGCACCATATTAAGTGGTTGCATGACACAGTTGAAAGTTTGTAATGTCATTTGCATGTGACCTCTTGCCTCATATGCCACGTTGTTCTAATGTCTTTAATTAAGTTATATTTTTCATAGGCCAGCACTTACCTGAACCCACCCAATAGCAGGTTCTTACGGTATACATTCCTCAAGTATGTTACATGTGTATTCTTTCGTTTACCCAATATCTTTGTAAAATTTGAGGTTCATACAGAAGTGGCTATGAAGATTATTTTCTTCTGTGATGAAATACTGTGTAGTTTGGTAGACAGAGACCAACATTTTGGAGGAACCACCAGTCTGCATCTTCATTGTAGTCTGTTGATAATCTGAAGATGGAGACAGCAGGTTCCTCTGAAACATGTATATCCATCTATCTACCAAACTACATATTGTTCCATACCAGAAAACAGTATACCTATTCAGTATCTCATTTTAATTTAATATTATNGTAAAAACTTACATGTCACACTCTATGGAGTGGTTTGTATTTATATTTAATTCTTATTTGTTTATTTTCAACTCCAAATTTTTAATCTTTCTTAAATTTGTATTTACATTTAATCTTCAGTATATATTTTCAGGCATCCTTGACATGGTTTTATTAGTAAAGGTATTTTGTTATATATGCTAATTTCCAGTTCATTACTAATTACTTCTCATATAATAATTCCTGTCACCATTTACTCAGTTCAATTCACTTTAATAAGATAAAATGAAAAATAGCTGCATTAAACAATTTAATGCACACACTCAGTATATACCCAGTTGACAGCAGTAATAAACAAGAATGAATAAGCACAATCATGCAAATAGTGCATAATAATCCATTCACAGCTGTTGAAGTACTGACACTAGTAACAAAAAATTCACTGACCACTGACCTTACAAGTACACCCTATCTCCTCTAACATGTATAGTAATAATACGGGATTGGTCATGTTTACATTTGTAGGCAAAGAAATCAGTACTATGAGAAAATTATTGCAGAACGCAAGCTTTGAGTTTTCCTTCAGTAATACAAACACAGACACCTTTGCAGTAAACAAAACCTGTCTGCTAGGTGCAACCCATGTAAAAACAATTGCATATATATGTCCGCTACAGCATAATACAGTATTTGCCCAGTGAAATATGTGGATCAAACTAGGAGATCATAGTATCATTTACTAGGAACTTATGAATTCTTTCATATCTAACAAATATGTTTATAGCTGAAGATATTCTGCATGCAGTCGACATGCCTGTCACATGCTAGATGGAACTGCAAATACCCTTTAAATTACCTAAAGGGGTTCTGTATATGAATGTGCTAGAGAGATATGAAATGAGATCTGCACACAGATGGGCATAATTAGTCTTCACTTTAATGAGACAATAAATGTGTTTACTTTTGTAGTGTAGGCTGTGGTATCTAACAAACTGAGCCCTGCATAGTGAACGGGATTTAATCAGTCCCATATTTTAAACCCTTCATATTTAAACATAACCCCCTCTGTATAATCCTATACATTACTCCCTCCCTCATCCTTAATTCATTTTCCTTCCTCTATCCTCAGTACAAACCCACCCTTTGAACCCTCCTCTGAGTTATATATTTCCACCCACATCTCCCATTGCTCATACCAATTTGTTTCTCAGTACACACGTGCTATCCAAGCAGCCCCTGACTGATACCTAAGCAGGTACAACAAATAGTTTGTATAAAATAGGAATTTCTGGGAAGAACTACTTGCCTAATTTCCTTTAATACTGCATGGACCGCGTAGAAAACTGCATGTCCAACATTTGTTGTATTATTGTATGTGTCTTCGTTGCCATGGGAATGTGTTTACTGATCCACTGCCTATCAATGGCACGGGAGTGTACGCATGCAGACATACAGGCAGCCTACTTTTATTTTTTCAGAATAGGGAAAGTAGTATAGAAACAACTGACAACATTTTTAAGTTAAGTTTAAAGTACTTTTGCATGTGCCATTATTTTATGCCAGTTTTGCTGAGTTTTGATCATTTAAAGCTACATGGAAGAAGAATTCTAATACTTAATGTGTGACACACTGTACATTCCAAATCATGTCACCCATCTTGTGGAAATTGGTGAGAGAGGATTTGTTGTGTGACCGATAATTTGTACTCGTATATTTCTAATTTTTATTAGAGCAGTGATTCTCACATTTATTAATGTTTTAATACTCATATAATACAGAGTGATTCAAGATGGAGTGGACACTTTTGTATACTAATAATACAGAAGTCATTCATTTCACACTGATACCACATAACATATAGCGGATCTGACCAAATTGATTTTTTAAAACAAGCCTGAAATATGATTCTTTCCCCATCCACAAGAGGTGCACATGCTGTTAAAATGGTTTCTGTATGCGAAGAATTCTGTTAGTGTTAAGTGGGAATTTTGTAAACATTGCTGGAAGAATAAAGCACACAGAAGTGAATTTATGATGCTTCATGTAAACAGTTTGAAACGTACAGAAATGCAGGTTTCAGGACTGTTATGCTTACTCACTGATATAAGTTACAGTAGGCGTAACTGTGGTTTAACGCTGAGAATGTTGAGTAGGAACCCATTATAAAAAATGTAATTCTTGGTACCTCAGGATGTCATATAACAGTTATCATTAGTTGTTTTTATTCCTTTTGTTGCATCTATAAATGGAGACGTAATTGGTCTAAGTAGGGCATTGTTTGTCAGTTTGTTATTTGTTGTGGAGCTGTTGATAGTTCCAATTAGAACCAGATGATGACAGTAATAAATTGCAGTGGAAGATATCTGTGCTTCATTTGGCATTGTGGTCTGGACATTTGCTGAAAATAGCTTTATAGGTAGCAGCAACACTTTCTCTGCAAGCTATCTTTCTAGAATGTTTTTAAAATTCATAACATGCGTATTCAGAGAGACCATGATTTTGAAGCATCC